ACCGACGTCCGGGACGAGACGAGTGGGCGCTCTGACGGCGCGGCGTCGCCGCCGCCGGCCGCCTTCTCCTCACCACGCGACATCGACCGACTGATGCAGCGCCGCGAACGCCGCAACATCGCCGACTGGCTGCGCGAGGACACGACGCGCCAGCTCGACTTCGAACGCCGCCCGGTGGAGGCGGACAGCGGCGGGCGCTGGGCGCGCACCGAGCTGGCGCCGACGCTGCCGGGGCAAGCCACGCCGCAGTCCAGGCCCGGTTGGATTCAGCCCAAGCACCTGCCGGCGGCGACCGGCGCCAAGACCGCTGCCGAACGGCGCCGGGCGTTCTTCGGGGCCTCCGGCTCGGCCGACAGCCGGCTGCTACGCTCACTGGAGGACGAAGCCAGCGGCGCGCCGGCGGACGAGCCGCAGACGATCGCCGAGCTGGGCCTGGCCGGCCGCGCACCGTTCTGGGTCTGGGACAAGTGTCTGCAGGAGGTGATGCGGGAGGAGCTGGTCGACTGGCTGGACCAGCGGCTCGTAGACGAGCTTCAGGCGTTGAAGGCGAACGAGGTGTCGGCCGCGGAGCGCGCCGACGGCGAGAAGACGGGTCAGACACTGGCGCCGAGGGCTGCCGAGGCCGACACGCCCGTCCCCATACCGCGCAGTCAGTGGCTGTTCGACGAAAACGCACAGGAGTTCGGCAAGCTCGAGTCGCCAAAGTTCCCCGACGTCGAGACACCGGCGCCAAAGTTCATCCCCAGCGACCAGCTCTTCACAGACGCGAAGCAGTTCAGGTCGCCGTCGACCGGCAAGCAGCTGGTGACCGTGAGGACGGACGCGTCCTGTCCGGAGGGCGAGGAGACCCCAGCGAACCCCGCCTCCTACTCCTCCGGCGTGACCATCGTCTCGCCGGACCGCAGCGCGCAGACCATCGTCGCTCCGCACCGCATCGTCATCGACGTCATCTCCGAGCCGGCCATCCGCGTGCAGCCGCCGGCCATCCGCGTGCCACTCCCGGAGCCCGCGCGGCCGGAGGAGGGGACGCCGCCGACGCAGGCCGTCCGACGGAACGCGGAGGAACAGCGCACCGCGGCACGAGCCGGTCCGGAAGAAAGCGAAGGTCAGCGGGCCGGGGAGAGGGCCGGCCTGACTGGAAGTATGACCCACGCGGACGCCGAGGTGGTGCCGAGGCGGTCACCGGCGGCGGACACAGAAAAGCCCGCTCCGAGGCTGGCTGATGAACTCCGGAGTCCAGAGCCACCCCGTCCACAAGAGCGGAAGACGCCGGCCGGCGCGCGTGGAGAGGCTCCGCTGGTGTTAGCGCTGCCGCCAGCTGCTAGGGCCGTGCTGAGCGCGGCCGCCGCTGCGCACAGCCGGTCGCCCGTCGAAGACCTGTGCCCGGCTCAGCCGCTGTCTGAGGACGCCGAGAGCGAGGGCGAGCTGAGCAGCCGGCGAGCCCGGCTCATGGCACGGGCCGCTGACCGGCCGCTCGTCTCGCCGCCCGGCGCCCAGCGCTGCCGGCCGGCCGCCGGCGGCGCGCTGAGCAGAGCCGAGCCCGCCGGCGGCTCGCAGGAGGAGCATGTGGGCGGGGGCCGGTCCGAGGTCGGCGGCGCGCCGCCTGAGGAGGAGGAGGAGGCTGCCGTCAGCGGCGCGCCGGGGCAGAGGGGGCGGGAGGCCTCAGCTGCCAAGTTCACGTCGTCCGTGGTGATCCCGCTCGAGACGGCCAAACACGAGTCGCCGCCCCGGCAGATGCTGTGGAAGTTCCCGCTGGTCGAACTGAGGCCAGAGCAGGCTACGGACCGGAGTGGTGCTGCGACGAACGCCTCGGCGGGCGGCGGAGGTGGAGACGCCGCCGGCTCGGACAGCCAGCGGCGATTGGTCCAAACGCCACGGAAGCCGACCAGTGAAGAGACAAAAGGGGCGGAGCGGCCCGTGAACCTCCGGCACAGGGCAGGCGACGAGCCTCGCGGAAGCCATCAGAGCCAGGCGAAACGGCGATCTAGGAAGCTCTCGATGGACGACGAATACAACGAGATGAAGTACAAACTGCTGCAGACGGCGCTTCCCGACACATCTGCCCACCCGAACGCGTCGATCAACGGAGAGACGGGAAAGGAAAATGCCGTGATCACGCGGCACAACACGAGTGACGACAGGTCTCAAGCCGGCCGTAAGAGCCAGGAGAAGCGACGCTCCCGGAAGCTATCGATGGACAAGGAGTACCGCGAGATGAAACGCAAGCTCTCGCAGGCGGCCATTCCTGCCACACCTACACCCCCCGTCACAGCAGCGACAAATGGCAAGCTAATCGACAAACGCCAGCCGCGACCTCTCTCGATGGACGCCGAGTACTACGAAATGAAAAACAAACTGCAGCAGGCGAACGGGCTGGACGGCCAGCATGCCAAGACCGACCCGCAGGGCCCGCCACCGCCGGGCAGCGGACGAGCCGCGGTGCCGGCGGGGGACGTCAGCTCGGCCCCGGGCCCGCCCCGCCGCTCCTCGCTCAGCAAGAAGGTGCTCGTGTTGCGGAACCACCTGGAGCCGGCGCCGGCGAGTCCGCGCGCCGCACCACCGCCGCCGGTTCTGGTGCGCGTCGGCAGTATCCGGGAGCGAGTGGCGCGGCTGCAGGGTCAGCTGCCCGAGGCGGCGCCGCCGCCGGTAGTCACGCCGCACCACCAGCGCTACTCGCCCTTCACCCGCCAGGGAGGCGACACCGGCGGCGTCACTAGCCAGCTGACGGTGCAGCTGAGCCCGACCGGCCTCGGTCCTCCAGCGCCGCCGCTGGGGACGGTGCGGCCTCCCTCGCCGCAGGTCAGCCGCAGCCCCGACGTCGCACGCGGGACAAAAGCACACGCCCCCGGGCTCCCCTCTCCCTGTGCCAGATCAGCCCCCGCTGATGGCCGCGGGTCACAGACGAACACCGCAGGGGTTTCCGCGCTGGCGGCTGGATCGCCCCCGGTGGCGTCGCGCGGCGGCGACGCCGAGCCGCCGGCTGGGGGGACCGGCTCACCGCCCGGGGTCGAGCAGCGGGGGTCGCCACACGCCACGACGGCGGTCGGCGCCGGCGCCAGGATGCCGGCTGGTGGCGGACAGAAGCCGGAACCAGACGGTGGTGGGCGGGAGCAGGAGCCAGACGGCGGCGGGCGGGAGCCGGAGCCAGACGGCGGCGAGCAGGAGCCGGAGCCAGACGGCGGCGAGCAGGAGCCGGAGCTTGATGACGTATTCACTGACGCGGTCGGGCCGCCAGCAGCACCGAGAACGGCGGTCACCAGGTTGTAGACAACGCCATCCTGCTATCGGCCGGCGGTGGTCGCGCCGATTTTGTGAAGTCGACAATGTGTGTTACGAAGGATGGGTTTTACTGGCGTGCTTCTTGGAGGGAAGAGGAGCGGAGATCACGGTTGCTGGCAGAAAGGCGCGCATGATAGTGCAGATAGGCATGATTCAGCGAGTAGTTCAACAGCGTAACGCGAATCGTAATTAGCGCCGGCTTGTATTTGTGTATGCTGATTCAACCAATATTACAACGCTATAGCTACCTTAGTACAGAAACAAGGGCCTCAACAGCCAACAGCTTCCATCTGTCGCCATATTCTGAACTAGCGATGAGCCGTGGTGATCTCACAGTAAGGTACCAATCCCGTCTGTGCAATCACGACCGACAGACCTAAAAAGGAGCGGGACCACCGACAATCCGTCCTCCACTTGAAAGTGCAGAAAGATGCGGCTCTCCCCCTCCCCCTTGCCTGACTCCCTTGGTGATTCGCTGCTTTTTGTCGAGTTTTCTCTTTGTACTGCGATAATTCGGCCGTTTTGGCTATGGCGTGCTCTGTGGGAGAGCAGTACCGCAAAAACTGGTCTCCAGCGCGAGACTTTCTCTCGGGGTGCTTTCATCGCGGCGTCGCATTAATCCATAGCGCTGCAGCACAAGACAAACAACGCGCAAGTGACAAAATGCATCGCTGCGATTTGCTGGGTCTCACGAGACGCCATTTACAATCTGAAATTCTCGTTCACCCCACGAAAGAGAGCGTAATTTTACAGGTCCCACCCTGTAGGTAATGAAAAATCAATAGAAAACATTAGACTTCAATCGGAAACCGTTAGATGCGCACACACCATGTCAAGTCACATAGGCTGTACCCGATACGTCCTGGCCAGCACACGTTTTGGATGCCTCCACGACGCTTTTCGCGTAGAGTACGTGTTGTTACAGCTGTTGATCAATGTCAAATGGGCTTCGAAATAAACGGAGATGCCACTGCTCGTTCGGTTTGGACACAACGTGCGATCAAGGTGGAGGAAACAGCAAACCAGCCCCAGACAAACAACTGGTGACAAACAGCATCCCCAGACCCATTCTCAGATCATTTCCATTCCATTCCCAGATCATGTCTCACGACACTCCATTGTTTCCGCAAGCGCGCTGTACCGACCTGGCAGCAGCGCGAGAGGTCACAACCCCTCCGGCCACACCGTTCCTACCGCCGCTCCAGTGTTGGCCACTCAGCCCAGTACAGGGGTGTACACGTGCTACGGCGCTCGTGGCGCGGCTCAAGCGGCGGACCGCCAGGATTCCCCGCCGTCAGTGATAACGCCCAGCGAGGCTGCAACGGCAGCCGTGGCCTCCGCCAGCGGCCTCCGCGGCCGACCCCGCGGCAGCGCGCCCCGGTGGCGTTCAAGCCGGCCGGCTGGTCGGCGCTGCCCGTGAAGCCCGCGTGACCGGAACAGGGCGGCTGTGTCTGCCACCACGATAGCGTATCACACCGGCCGGGGCCGATTTGTTTGCCTTGGCCAGCCCCCGCAGCCTATCGAGCCATAACCCTGAAGTCACCGCTCCGCAGAACGTCAGTCAGCGTGAATGTCAGCGAAGCCGTCCACCTGCGTCGCTGGAGCCTCCCAGGTGTCCGACCACGCAGCACGGCAAAACCCCTTTTGATCCCCCTCCGTCCCCGCCGCAGCGGGGGGGGGGGGGCGGTCACCTGCAGCACCGTTCATCACACAGCTACAGCCTGATACAGTCACCGTATATTCTACCACGCGGATTAACCAGTTGCATACGCAGCAGCGCCTGCCGGCGAGCGCACAGTCCACACCATTGACGCAGTCGGCGGGTGGTCCCCACATATTGGCGCCAAAACGCATCAAACACCCCGCCGATTAAGGTTAGCCACGGAATCAATCGCACACTGTCGCGTTGCACGCGTCCAGTAAGCTACTGAACGAAGATTGTCTACTGAAAGGCACCAAGAAAATCAATAAGTACTATTTAACACATGAGTGCAGGGCAAAACAGCAGACGGTCGTCACCTGCCGCTAAAGGCTAACCCAAAACTGGTCTGGTCTGGTCTGGTCTGGTCTGGTCTGGTCTGGTCTGGTCTGGTCTGGTCAGGTCTGGTCGGGACTGGTCTGGTGATATCAGGTCTGGTCTGTCCAGAGCAGGTCGTGTCAGGTCAGGTATGGCGCAGTCTGAAAACGTCAAGGTAGGTCCAAGGTAGGTCCTATCAAGTCACAGCGGGCCTGGTCAGAGCAGACTAGGTCTGTTCAGGTCAATTCAGGCCAGGTCGCATCGGTTTGGATCTGGCGGCGGGTGGGCCGCCGCCCAGCGACCGGGTTCGGATCAAGCTCCGTCTGACCGGGCTCACCGCCCGGTCAAAAAGTTCCGCGTCCCCGACGTCAGGTCAGGTCAGGTCAGGTCAGGTCAGGTCAGATCGGGTCGGATCAGATCAGGTTAGGTCAGGTCAGACCTGGGCGGCACGTCTACAGCATCTGGCGGACCATGTAGCGCAGCAGGCCGCCGTGCTGCAGCAGCGTCACCTCCGCCTCCGAATCGAGCCGCGCCGTCACCTGGAAGCTCCGGCCGTCGTCCGTCTGCAACACGGTCGGCCGTCATCAGCCGGGCCCGGCCGGCCAGCCGCACGGCCCCCCGACACACAGCGCCGTGGGCCAGGCCGTTGCGCTGGCACACCCGGCCCCTGTGCGGCGGAGCCGGCGCAGCAGCCGTCGGGAAGTTATCAAAGCCAGACGAGTCGTCGCCAACGATGTGGACGCGGGCACTTTGCTCACGCCGGTGAAGCCGGAGAAGCCATAAGTTCGAGACACAAGAACAACGGCCCGCGGACTCCCGTGTCGCTCCTCTAAAAACAAGATAACTCCATCCCGGCCCGCCCACTGACGAGCCTGACACACCGCGGGTACCGGACATCCCCGCTCTCACTGCGATGGCTCGCTGGATGGTGCGCGTCACCGCACACCGCCGGCGGCACAGCGCGGGCGGCGGGGCGAGGCGGGCGCCGTGATCACCGCCCCGCGGCGCCGGCGCCGCTGCCCGGCCGGTGCCGGCCCGCTCACCTGAACGTCGACGGCGGCGCGCGGCGTTAGCGGCCGCGGCAGCCGGACGGTCAGCGCCTCGCGGCCGCTCAGCGCCAGCGCCGCCGCCGACTCGCCGCACCGGTACTGCAGCGGCAGCACGCCCACGCCCACCAGGTTGCTGCGGTGCACGCGGTCGAACGACTCGGCCAGCACGGCGCGCACGCCCTGCGGACGGCCGGAGCGGGTCAGCGGCCGGGGTGGTGAGGGCGAGCGGCCGCCTGCCACGCCGTCCCCCGCGAGACGGCGGGACAGCGGGCCCGCACACGGCCGCGGCACGACGCCGCCCCGGCGCAGCGTCCCGCCGCTGGCGCGGACGCCCGACGGAGCCGGCCAGTCACGTGCGCCAGCTCCGCAGCCGACTGAACGCGGGGGCGGTCGTCTGCGCCGCTCAGACGCAGGTACGCGCGGCGAGGTCCCCCGTGCTTACAGGGTGGGGCCGGAGCGTTCCACTCGTCCCACCCAGACGGAGGGGACATCGGTGAGACGTCCTCGAGTGTCAGTCATGCAGGGTCCATCGATTGCAATTCAAACAGATAACGCTAGAAACCATTCAGATAAGCACTTCATAACTCTTCAGGATAATACCAGACGCAGCCACTTCTTTGCAGTGGCGGCGGAACACCATTGGGGTTGAGAGGAAGGGCGGTTTTCGAGACATCTCTACACGTGAAGTCATACGGTTCATGTCATCTCCCAAAGTTGGGTGGCAGGCGCTCTCGCTGTGATGATGATCATGATGTGGGCTTTAGGGGCGCATCAGCTGCCCTGGCCATACGGTCCGCTCCTTTCCCTCCCCAATGCACCGCCCCCACAACTTCGCGACCACAACCATACACTGGCGCGCCGGTCCTCTTCACTCTCACCCACGATCTATCACGACCATAACCTGCAACTCCTCGTGGCAACCAAATGGGGGCACTCCGCTCCTGAGCAAACAACACAACCATAACCACGAAAAGCCAGTCATTCTGCCTGCCCGATCTCTCGGGGAGGGGCGAGGGGAGACCAGCGGCGGACCCGGCCAGCACGTACCAGCAGGGCGGGCCCCTTGGCGGCCCAGTCCCGTGACGAGCCGCAGCCGTAGTCGCGGCCGGCCAGCACCAGCAGCGGGCGCTGCTCGGCCCGGTACCGTTCGGCCGCGTCGAACACGTCCATGGTCAGGCCGGACGGCAGGTGCACGGTGCGCGGCCCGGCCGGCCGCAGCAGCCGATTGGCCAGCCGCGTGTTGGCGAACGTGCCGCGCACCATCACCGCCTCGCAGCCGCGTCGCGAGCCGTACGAGTTGAACTGGCGCGGCGTCAGGCTGCGGCGCGGCAGGACGGAGAGGTCAGCGGCGCGGCGGGGGCGGCAGACGGCACGTGGCTGGACGAGGCACGATCGGGGGTACGGCTGGGCGAGGGGCGCCACCCACGGACACCGGGCTGTCGGCGCTCAGAATCCCGAACTGGCCTGCTTGTTAACGCCTTCGGACGAAGGAGTGGCGAGGTCGATCAACAGCTACAAAGACACGCCCCGAGACACGCGCAACCGACACAAGCGCATGGCCGGCACGCCCAGAAGCCGCGAGTTTCGCGGCGGCAGCAGACTGCCGCCCCGTTGCCGGCTGTCCTGCCGGCGGCGCCGACAACTCGGCGCGTACCCCATGGCGGTGAGGTAGCGGGCGGCCGGGCTGCTGCGGGCGATGCTGCCGGCCGGCGAGATGTGGTCGGTGGTGACGCTGTCACCCAGCACGAGCAGCGCGTGCGCCGCCTCGATGTCCTGCAGCGGCGGCGGCTCCTGCGGCGCGCACACAGACGGAGGCGTCGGCGGCGGTGGGGCGCGGCGCATTCACGCGATAGTGACGGTGCTGCGTGGGGCGGGAGCCAGAAGCGGAGTCAGGCTGTCTTAATATGCGAGATCTGTCCACTGCGAGCCGTCCAGGGCAGAAGGCTCCGGGCAACGCCACGCATGTGGAACGGGAAACTGACACCATGAGCTGTCGTCGGCACATCTTCAGTGACCCAAGCCATCTCATACGACTTCAAGCCTCGCTTGTGACTCATTGCTGGCCCCCTGAGTGCGCGACCTCCGGGTGATCATCAACCCGTGTTTGAACGGTTACAAAGACGAGTTGTCCGTGAGACCACGTGCTCGCCCGCCGGCCTGTGTCCGGCGCCGGCGTCTCACCCGTGTCATGCCCTGCAGGAGGGTGGGCGGCTGGATGTAAGTGGACGCAGCCTGCCAGCGGTACACGTCCGAGTCGGGCACCTGCAGCGAGCTCCAGCTGGCGTTCCCTGCCAGTGACGTGGCGTCGCGTCAGACAGAGCCGCTCCCGTGGAACAGCGCCCGGTCCGCAGCCCATACTGAAGCGAGCACCGCCCGCCACAGGTACCCCCGTGGAACAGCGCCCGGTCCACAGCCGACACTGGAGCGAGCACCGCCCACCAGAGGTGCTCCCGTGGAACAGCGGCCGGTCCGCAGCCGGCACTGAAGCGAGCACCGCCCACCAGAGGTGCTCCCGTGGAACAGCGCCCGGTCCACAGCCGACACTGGAGCGAGCACCGCCCACCAGAGGTGCTCCCGTGGAACAGCGCCCGGTCCATAGCCGACACTGGAGCGAGCACCGCCCACCAGAGGTGCTCCCGTGGAACAGCGCCCGGCCCACAGCCGACACTGGAGCGAGCACCGCCCACCAGAGGTGCCCCCGTGGAACAGCGCCCGGTCCGCAGCCGACACTGCAGCGAGCGCAACCGCCAGAGGTGCCCCGTGGAACAGCGCCCAGTCCGCAGCCGACACTAGAACGAGCACCGCCCGCCAGAGGTGCCCCCGTGGAACAGCGCTCGGTCCGCAGCCGACACCGGAGCGAGCACCGCCCGCCAGAGGTGCCCCCGTGGAACAGCGCCCGGTCCGCAGCCGACACCGGAGCGAGCACCGCCCGCCAGACTGTCCGACCACACGGCTGTGTGTGGCCTTAACAGGGAGCATGGCACCCACGTGACGCTGTCGCGGGCGGTGGCGCCCTCTGTCCTCCCCGCGCTCCGCCTGCGGACACCCGGAGGCCGCCACCGCCACGTCGCCGAGCGGCGACGGCGTGACTCAGCGGCAGCGTCGCCCCCACCTTTGGTGATCTTGGAGTAGACGTCGGCGAATATGGCCGGGATGACCGACTTGGACTCGAGCTCGTGGATCTCCTGCCGGCTCGGCCAGATGTCGCGCAGGTACACGTCGCCGTTCTCAGAGGTGCCTACAAAACAGACGCCGTCTGGTCAGGACCGTCCACCAATCAAGCCGGGTACTTAAAGGAATTCTTAGCCCGCCCTCCGCTTAGTTACAATCAGGTGTTGATGACTTGTGGCTTAACGATGCACCGACGTGAACGACCCGACGCTGGGCACACTATAAGTAAGGTAGCGCACCCCTCCCCCCCCCCCCCCCCCCCGATCAAGCAAACGACGGCGTCCACGGCCGGCGGCACCGGGGTGACAACATTTTTGACATTTTACTTATGCCACGAATGCCGTGGAGCAAATCTATCTCAGACGACACCTTTCTTAACCCTCACACTGAAAAATGTCCACGATCCCCTTGACTGTTCCTAAAAAGAATGGAAAGTCTTGGAACAGGCTTCTTAATTTCACTGTCTCTTTAATTTTCATAATTTACGTAAGACTTTTTGTTACGCGCTGGTGATGCATGAATGTCACACTGTTTAAGTCTGCTTTCTTGTGAAGCAACTGCGCGGTGACGAGAAAATCCCGTTGTTTAGTGGAATGCGTGGTATATCACGTTGTTGAATGGAATGCGTGATATTTCACGTTGATGAATAGAATGCGTGGTATTTTACGCTATTGTGTTAAACCAAAAAAAATCCCCATAGCTGCTTAGGAATTGGCATGCTGCCGCCGAGCGATTTGAATTTATACGCAAATACCAGGCTCCTGAGCAACTACGCAATGCCACTGGCCAGACTAGCTCTACATTGTCGTGTGATTGTTTCTCCTTTGTCCTGTTTACCAGCTCTGCATTGTCGTGTTTGTTTTTCCTTGGTCTCTACCTATCACCACTTTCACATAACCAAACCGTTACGAAACGCTAGTCAACATGTCTAGCTTACGACCTTTGTCTCACACCTCCTGCAAATCTCCTGTGTCACGTGTTGTGGCGTACCAGCCGCCTCCATCTCTTTAAACCGTTACGTAACTTATACACGTCTCACTCCGTTGTGGCGTCAGCAGCGTTCCCCACAGAGCGCGTAACATGGCAAGGGGCATGGACCAGTTATCGTCTGCCTCCCACTCCAGCCGCACGCTGTCCCGCTGGTCTGGTGCCCTGCTAGCCCACGCGCCGCGACCCCCGCATTGAGAGACGGTGCACCGCTGGCGGGCACGTTTACGATCGAACGGCCGACCGGGCGTCAGGCACCGACGTGGGGTGGTCTCGGACGCTCCCCGCCCGTGCATCACAGCTCCGCCCATGTTTTCGCCCAGCGGGGTGGTCTCGAACGCTCCCCGCCCGTGCGACATAGCTTCGCCCGTGTCTTCGCCCAGTGTGATAGCCTCGGGCGCTCCCCGCCCGTGAAACACAGCTCCGCCCGTGTCTTCGCCCAGTGTGATAGCCTCGGGCGCTCCCCGCCCGTGAGACACAGCCCCGCCCGTGTCTTCGCCCAGTGTGATAGCCTCGGACGCTCCCCGCCCGTGAGACACAGCTCCACCCGTGTCTTCGCCCAGTGTGATAGCCTCGGGCGCTCCCCGCCCGTGAGACACAGCTCCGCCCGTGTCTTCGCCCAGTGGGATAGCCTCGGGCGCTCCCCGCCCGTGAGACACAGCCCCGTCCGTGTCTTCGCCCAGTGTGATAGCCTCGGACGCTTCCCGCCCGTGAGACACAGCCCCGCCCGTGTCTTCGCCCAGTGTGATAGCCTCGGACGCTCCCCGCCCGTGAGACACAGCTCCGCCCGTGTCTTCGCCCAGTGTGATAGCCTCGGACGCTCCCCGCCCGTGAGACACAGCTCCGCCGTGTCTTCGCCCAGTGTGATAGCCTCGGACGCTCCCCGCCCGTGAGACACAGCTCCGCCCGTGTCTTCGCCCAGTGTGATAGCCTCGGACGCTCCCGCCCGTGAGACACAGCTCCCGCCCGTGTCTTCGCCCAGTGTGATAGCCTCGGACGCTCCCCGCCCGTTGAGACACAGCTCCGCCCGTGTCTTCGCCCAGTGTGATAGCCTCGGACGCTCCCCGCCCGTGAGACACATCTCCGCCGTCGTGTCCTTCGCCCAGTGTGATAGCCTCGGACGCTCCCCGCCCGTGAGACACAGCTCCGCCCGCCCGTGTCCTCACCCAGTGTGATAGCCTCGGACGCTCCCCGCCCGTGAGACACAGCTCCGCCCGTGTCTTCGCCCAGTGTGAGAGCCTCGGACGCTCCCCGCCCGTGAGACACAGCCCCGCCCGTGTCCTCACCCAGTGTGATAGCCTCGGACGCTCCCCGCCCGTGAGACACAGCTCCGCCCGTGTCTTCGCCCAGTGTGATAGCCTCGGACGCTCCCCGCCCGTGAGACACAGCCCCGCCCGTGTCTTCGCCCAGTGTGATAGCCTCGGACGCTCCCCGCCCGTGAGACACAGCCCCGCCCGTGTCTTCGCCCAGTGGGATAGCCTCGGGCGCTCCCCGCCCGTGAGACACAGCCCCGCCCGTGTCTTCGCCCAGTGGGATAGCCTCGGACGCTCCCCGCCCGTGAGACACAGCCCCGCCCGTGTCCTCACCCAGCGGGGTGGTCTCGAAGTCGATGTCGACCCGGCCGGCCAGCGCGTACGCGATCACCAGCGGCGGCGACGCCAGGTAGTTAGCGCGCACGTGCGGATGCACGCGCCCCTCGAAGTTCCGGTTGCCGGAGAGTACACCGCAGCACACCAGGTCCGCCTGTCGATCCGCGCCGGTCAGATCGCTGACGCCCAGAAGGCGGGGGGAGCGGCACACACAGCGGTATGACGACACGCGCCGGACAGCTCCTCGCGGAAAATGACTCCCATTTAGCGCGGCAGCCGGTGGCGTGCAGGCGTGTAACATAGCACTTGCCCAAATATGTAGACATTCAAGACAGTTAACAGCAGTAATGGACGTCTTTAAATCGAAATTTGTGTCCACGAAGTCACAATAAAGGATATCCGAGAACCCAGGTCTGCCACAGCTGACTTCCCTTCCATCACTACCAACAAAAGCCTAATACCCTTCCCCGGCCAGCTGCACTCCCCAGCTGTCACCACCGGCCTGCCGTCCACCCCCCCCCCCCCCCTCTCCCGACCACCGCCGCGCCGGGCCCCACCCCTCCTGCCGCGCCTGGCCCTCCTCTCTCTCTCTAGCCGCGGTCGGCGCGCACCTCCTGCACGGCCTCGACGACGGGCCGCGGCAGCGGACCACTGTTGCCGATGCAGGTCATGCAGCCGTAGCCGACGATGCCGAATCCGAGCTGGCGCAGCGCCGGCAGCACGCCGCTGTCCTGCAGGTAGTGCGTGACCACGCCGGAGCCGGGCGAGAGCGATGTCTTGATCCAGGGCGGCACCGACAGGCCGCGTTCCACCGCCTTCCGGGCCAGGATGCCTGCCGGCGGTCGGCCGCACTGTCAGCGGGGTACGGGTGCGGGGTGCGGGGTGTAGGGTGCAGGGCGCGGGATGTGGTGTGGGGTGCGGGTTGCGAGGTACGGGGTACGGGGTACGGGGTGCGGGGTGCGGGGTGCGGGGTGCGGGGTGCGGGATGCGGGATGCGGGATGCGGGATGCGGGGTACGGGGTGTGGGATGTGGGATGCGGGATGCGGAATGCGAAATGCGGGGTGCGGGATGCAGGATGCAGGATGTAGGATGCAGGATGTGGGATGCGGGATGCGGGATGCGGGGTACGGGGTACGGGGTGTGGGATGCGGGATGCGGGATGCGGGATGCGGGATGCGGGATGCGGGGTGTGGGGTGTGGGGTGCGGCGTGCGGGGTGCAGAGTGCAGATTGCGAGGCGCGGTGCCCCGGCGAGCGCGTCGCGTCCGGCCGCCGGGGCGGGCACTCCGATCCAGAATGAGATCGGGGCAGGAGCGGAAGTGAAACATATCACGACTCGCCTCCAGCGTGACCCTCGGCAAGGCGCCTATCTCTCGTTCGTGCACAGCAACCCACGCGGCGTCGTATCCCAAAATTACATAACAATCCAGTCACCAAAAACAATGGCTATAAGTTTGCGGAAATATCACAGCACCATAACGCTTGCAGGCCAGTTTCATAATCCAAACAGCTCTGAGCGGCGCCTCGTTCTTCTATAGCCCATCGCCTGCCGTGACGTCCGCCCGAGCACGCGGCCGGCGCCGGGACCGCGGCCGCTCCGCCGCCGGTGCCGCCTGACGGCTGACCTGCGCCCAGCATGACGGACGGGTTGCTGGTGTTGGTGCAGGAGGTGATGGCGGCGATCACCACCGAGCCATGGCCGAGGCTGTACGTGCGGCCTCCCAGCCGGATCTGACGCCGCTCCTGCAGCCGCTCCGGCCGTACGCCAAAGCCCTTGAAGCCCACCTGGTCGGTACACCAGAATATTAATAGTATCAACAGTGACAAGAATAATCATGAGAATGAGAGATGGAGAGGAAGCGACAGCTCCTCTCGATCACAGTACCATCAGACAGATCCTCCCGATCACAGTATCATCAGACGGATCCTCCCGATCACAGTACCATCAGACGGATCCTCCCGATCACAGTACCATCAGACGGATCCTCCCGATCACAGAGCCATCAGACGGATCCTCCCGATCGCAGCACCATCCGACGGACCCTTCCGATCACAGCACCATCAGACGGATCCTCCCGATCACAGAGCCATCAGCTCCGGGGCAAACTATCGGTCAGCGTTTCAATGACTTCGGCACTGCGGCATTGTACGGCGTCTGCGCATCACCACAGCGTTGGACTGACGCGTCTGTACCAATAAGTGAGCCAAGATAGGACCGCCGTCAACCTCAACAGAAAAGCAAGTGGGTGCGGGTGGCACGGGTTGGGGAACCAATGCCAGTCCGCAACAGGAGCAGGGAACCCAGACCAACCAGCACCCGATTACAAAGTGAGCCGAGATCAACCAGCACCCGATAACGCAGGGGATCCAGACCAACAGCACCCGATAACGCAGGGGACCCAGACCAGCAGCGTCCGATAACGCAGGGGACCCAGACCAGCAGCACCCGATGACGCAGGGGACCCAAACCGGCAGCACCAGATAATACAGGGGACCCAGACCAGCAGCGCCCGATAACGCAGGGGACCCAGACCAGCAGAGCCCGATAACGCAGCGGATCCAGACCAGCAGCACCTGATAACGCAGGGGACCCAGACCAGCAGCGCCCGATAACGCAGGGGACCCAGGCCAACAGCATCCGATAACGCAGGGGACCCAGACCAACAGCGCCCGATAACGCAGGGGACCCAGATCAGCAACACCCGATGACGCAGGGGACCCAAACCGGCAGCACCAGATAACACAGGGGACCCAGACTAACCAGCCCCGCCAGCAGAGGGCGGCGACCCGTGAGATGGACGGCCGTGGGGTCACGGCACGGGTGCCGTACCTCGGCAGACAGGCAGCGCAGGAAGTCGTCGCGCAGCTGGCTGGCGGCCACGCGGTCGTGCGGCCGCTTGGGCCCGCTCACGGAGGGCACGACCGTGGCCAGATCGAGCTCCACCACCTGCGAGAAGGCCGGGTCCTGCGCGGGCGCCGCGTAGTCTCGCAGCAGGCCGGCCGCCGCCAGGTAGGCGCGCATCACAGCCACCCGGTCCGCCTGCCGGCCTGGACAGGGGCGCGCGCGCCCTCAGCTGGCGCACACGCGCGCGCGGCGCGTACCGAGCGCAGTCGAGGCGCGACACGGGGGACACGTGCGCGGCACGGGGCGGAGACCATCGGAGCGGCCTGTGGCCGGCGTGATGCCGAAACGGACACGAGAAGCATTCGCCGTATAACGCGGCGATACACGCACGTGAGCAGCGCGTCCAGGGGTCGGTCCGCACAACTGCCTCCCTCGCGCGCCACACGGGGCGTCGGGCCTGTCGCGCGGCCGGCCGGCGCCGCGCCGGCGTCCGGCTCCCACCCACCCGTCTGCAGCAGGTAGTCGAGGCTGCGGCCGTCGACGGGGAAGAAGCCGACGGTGGCGCCGTACTCGGGGCACATGTTGCTGATGGTGGCCCGGTCGGCGATCGACAGCTGGCTGACGCCGGGCCCGAAAAACTCGACGAACTTGCCGACCACGCCCACCTGGCGCAGGTGCTGCGCGGCGGGGTCGAGACGCGGGGTCAGGCTCGCAGCGGGCTGCCGTCCGGGCCGCTCGGGTGCGGCGCACTCGTGCGGCCGCCACACCATGACCAGGATCGCCACATCACCACAGATCGGCTCACGCCCGCCAATGCCGAAAGCCCGGAGCAGTGTTCACAGCCGAGATAACGGTACGACGCTGAGGACGTCTGGGCCGCGACCGTCCCGCGGACTAGCTAGAGTCCCGGCTGACTGTGCGCACCTCCCGTGGGCGCCGGCTGGCCCCTCCGGCCGGTCGGCGGCGCGCCCCTCACCTTGGTGACGGTGAGCACGATGTCTGTGGCGGTGGCCAGCGGACTGCAGCGGCCAGTGATCTTGTAACCGACCACCTGGGGCAGCGTCAGGCCCACCGTCCGGCCCAGCATGGCCGCCTCGGCCTCCAGGCCGCCCACGCCCCAGCCCAGCACGCCCAGCCCGTTGATCATGGTGGTGTGCGAGTCGGTGCCGACCAGCGAGTCGGGCCGCAGTAGGTCGTCCGTGTCGAACACGACGCGCGCCAGGTACTCCAGGTTCACCTGGTGTACGATCCCCGAGCCCGGCGGCAGCACGCGCATGTTGGCGAACGCCGCCGAGCCCCACTGCCGGAGCGGAGCGGGGGTCAGGTCAGGCGGCGGCGCGGTCGGACACCGTCGCACGCTGACGCTTCAGCCCGGTGGCGACGACGGACAAGGGGAGCCCCGCTGCGAGCTGTGGATCCGTGGCCAGACTATGCCACCGTACCGCGTCCAGCGACAGCGGACGGGGGTAGGGCGCGGCTGGCCGGAGCCACACAACAGCGCAGGACCGGGCGGGTGTGCACCGGCGGCGCTGTGGCGACACATTCCGACCGGCGGCGGCACACTCGCGACACCGCCGAGTGTCGGTCCACGGTACAGCAAGCACACGGTGAGGCACGGCATGCAGAAAGGTCCACAGTGCATGCCGAACACAGCTTGTCGGTCCACACAGCGGCCGACCTTGCTGTCCGTGCCGTACACATGATACTGATGTATGGGCCCCGCCGTCGTCCCACACTAGCCTGGGGCGGGGCAGACAGACCGGGTCAAGTCACGCGAGGACCGCGGAGGGACCGGGTCAAGTCACGCGAGGACCGCGGAGAGACGTGGTGATCCCACAGCTGACTGCCCCACTGACCTTCAGAAACTGGAAGCGTTCACTGTTTCTGTCAAATTCCAGCTCCTGATTCTTCCTCAGGGCATCGGAGCTGAAAACACAACCAATTATGCTAGCGAATCCAATTACAGCCCTGCTGAGGGCTCAGCCGAGGCATTTAAAAGTTAAACCAACATGGACACCCCTTGATCCATTTGTGGATACGCCACGGGCGGTGACGCGCACTTTGACACCGCCCGCGCTAGCATTTCGTCTATTCACCATCTCGCGATCCCTTTCTCCGGCAACCGAACAGCAAATGGTCGAAGCCTGGACATCTTAACTTCTTCCTGTCGCCCTGCATGCCCGCCTTGCTTGCACCTCGCGAGGCGGACCATCGCCAGTCCAGCACGCTGAAGCACTGGCCTGGGCTTCAAACCAGGCCCCGTCGCCGACACACCGGGCGCCCGCCCCGTCCAGCCACCCACACCCGCTCCATCCCGGCCGCCGTACTCACAAGGCCGACTCCTCCTCGTGGAAGGGGCAGATCTCGTCCTTGATGGGCGTGGCCGGCACGTCGCACGCTGGCACCTGCTCGAGACTGGCGCCCTTGCAGGCACACCGGCCGTCCTTCTTGCTACCGCACTCCTTCTGCGCCGCCGCTGCGGTAGCGGCCGGCGCCGGAGACTGTCCAGGAGGCGCGCCGCTGGGGTGGCCGGTACGGCGCCGGCCGGGGCGCCGCCGGCGCGGCAGGGGCGGCGGCAGGAGCAGTGGCAGGAGAAGTGGCAGGAGCAGTGGCAGGAGCCATGGCAGAGGCGTCGCCAGCTGGGCCAGGGGCGGAGGCAGGGGCGGTGGTTGAGGCCGGGCCGGTGGGCGACGGAGACACTCCTGAGGAGCGCCGCTGGGGCGGCCGGTACGGCTGTGGCCGGAGCGCTGCCGAAGTGGCAGGGGCGGCGGCAGGTGCGGCGGCAGTGACGGCGGCAGAGGCGGCCGCAGGAGCAGTGGCAGGGGCGGTGACTGAGGCCGGGCCGGTGGGCGCCGGAGACGCCCCTGAGGAGCGCCGCTGGGGTGGCCGGTACGGCTGTGGCCGGAGCGCCGCCGGCGCGGCAGGGGCGGCGGCAGCGACGGCGTCGGGGACGGCGGCGAAGGCCTCGCCAGCTGGGATAGGAGCGGTGGTAGGGGCGGCGGCAGGAGGGGTGGCATGGGCGGCGGCAGGGGCGTCGCCAGCTGGGCTAGGGGTGGAGGCAGGCGGGGCGGCGGCAGAGGCCGTCGAGCGCACCGGCTTGCGGACCCGCGCCTGCAAGCGCCGGGCCACAGCCGAGCGGGCCGAGCCGGCGCCGCCCTCGATGTCGCCGGTGGACCCGGCGGCCGGCGTGGCGACACCGCCGCCGGCCGGCCGCGCCTGAGTCTGCTGGCTCACACTGCAGCAAGAGCGCACCGTCAGCGGTGCTTCAGTATGCCGGGCTCAGCTAACTCTTTGGTTTGACATTGGATTATTCGGGCCTTTGGGCGCTGCCACTACCTGGTCGACAGATGTCCCCGACCGCTTTTCGTGATTCACATCGTAATGTGATCATAGCAAACAACAGGCACAAACTAGGCGTGTTATACTCCCTTGCAAATTTGTCACACGCGATTACATGACCGGCAGTGCTCCGGCAATAACCCATCGGCCCAGACCACAGTCCTAGTCTGTGGGTCAAAGTCCGAGCCAGCTACTCTGGCAGCAACGCCACGCCTCCAAACAATAAGCAAGCCCCACGCAACGAACGCACCAATAACCAATCGCGTCACCTTCCCGGAGGTGCCCATGTTCAGGAAAGACGCAATCCACCCAACCCCACGCGCAGGGTTTCTAAGCTGGCGACAACCGCTGTTCTACGTTCGTCATAGTTCTGGGGAGTCAATTGGAACTAGGTCCGTACATGGCTTGCCACGCCAGGATGGCCAGTGTCGGGGGGAGGGGGTATACCGCCCGTGGGGGCTCAGCCCTGGAGTCAGTGTCAGGGGTACGAACACGCGTGAGGGGTCAACCTTGGATGGTCCGTGTCAGAGGTACGTACGCCCGTGAGAAGTCGACCTGGACCGAGTGGTCGATGACGAGGTCGGCCGGACAGACGGGGTTGACGCGGCCCGGCTCGCCGCCCAGCTGCTCCACCGCCTCCCGCATCGCCGCCAGATCTACCACGGCGGGCACGCCAGTGAAGTCCTGCCGAAGCGTGCAGAAACGGGGCTGAGCCACGCCCGAGCGGCCCGCCGACAGCCCGGCGGCGCGGCGGCGCGGCGGTGCGGCGGCGCGGCGGCGCGGCGGGTGCGGCGGCGCGGCGGTGCGGCGGCGCGGCGGTGCGGCGGTGCACGGCTCAGGTGACCGTCACCGCACATGTCACGTGGTGTAGCGGCGGTGACCGCGATCAGCGATGTAGTTCTACAACTGGCAAGTGGTACATCCCACTGCAACACGGTGATGTCAAGAGTGTTTACAATCGCCATCGTTTCTTTTCCAAACACTTGCAAAGCACTAACTGTCACACCACAAGCGCTGCAACAAATAACGGAGAACACGGGTCACTATCTGAGCGTATGGTCACAACCTACGACGTCCATCATCGCAGTGAACGACTAAACGCCAGGCCGGTAGCCGGTTCACACGCACCAGTTCGCACGCATGGTCGTGAGCATGCGACTGCGCCAAGCCGCCTCCCACCGCGTACACTTACGGACCGCTGGCACGCCAGCGGCAGCTGCGTGATACCGCGTGCGTGGCGACCGGGCGGCGAGGGAGGGGCGCGTCTGTCCGGGTCGTCTACGCGGGTCGCCTCCGCGCGTCTCCGCGCGCCGCCGCGCGCCGCCGCGCGCTCGTCGCGGCGCGAGCCGGCGCCGGTCTGCTCACCTGCAGGATGACGCGGCCCGGCCGGAAGGCCACCTGGACGTCGTCGGCGGCGGCCGAGCGGCGGCGCCAGTCGAGCAGCGCCTCCACGTCGGCCTCGCGCACCTGAGCGCCGTCCCAGCAGCGCACCGCCGCCTCCAGCAGCACGCGGATCGAGAACGGCAACTCGGCTGCAACGGCCGCCACACCAGGCAGGTCAGGGCGGCGGCTGTCGGGCGGGGGTCGGGCGGGAGTCGGGCGGCGGTGGTACCGAGCGACGCCAGCAGCACTGCGCCGTCAGCGGTGCGCTCATCATCAAATACAGCAGCAGACACTCAGGCCATCGGTCCGTTTCTCTCTTGCCACGTCTTAGCAGACCGCTAGAGCACGTTGCCTTACTTCGCTGCGGCAGTGCGCCCAACCCCTTCGTCAAGACAGCATTACAGCCCTTTCGTCTCACGGCCGTGCTGCAGTGTTTGTCTCGCGTGCTTCCGCTGCCCGCGTGCAGCAAACGTGGCTAAGAACTAAACAGGTCTGGAATGATACATCTGTGGATTCCCGGGAGGATGTGATCTGCAGCTATCGTTGTTCCATCTTTGCATCAGCATTCGTCGCTGGTTCACAGACGGCAAGAACCTTTTGTTTAACATCATATGCTTGGGCCGTCCGAAATATCCCTTACACCCCCTCCCTCTCCCTCCGAGGCTGTCAGCATTAAAGCCCGCTCTGGATTCGTATCCCTTCAACAGAGCACAGATCACAGTTTGTCGTCGACCGGCCGTTCTCCGCTAACGGTCCGTGCCGAATGTCACCGGGGTCGACAGCCGGCCGCTCTCCCGCTGACGTAACGTGACGCTGCGGTCCTGCAGCGGCCGGAGCGGTAGCGCCAGCAGCTGGTCACGGCCCACCAGACCGCGCGACCCGCCTCGGCCTCCCAAACTGCGACGGAAGCCAGCTGCCACGCCGCCGGCCCAGTGGCGGCGCCGCTCTGTGAGTCACGTCACGGCGCTTCGTCACTGCGGCGGCGGCTCAGCGCCGCAGACCCGCCGCTCCGGGCCCCAGCTGGGGCCCCGCCGTTCTAGGCCCCAGCCCGCAGAGCGCCGGATCTGATGACGTCAACCCCGCCGCTCCGGGCCCCAGCCCGGGCCCCGCCGTTCTAGGCCCCAGCCCGAAGAGCGCCGGATCTAATGACGTCAAGACCAGCTACCGATGTGACCGCTGACCATTCCAGCACGACAGGAGGGGAGAGCGCCGTCTCCCAGGTCGTTAGCAGGGCGGCTCCTCCGCCCTCTGACCATACGCGGCGGTCTGCCGTCCCGCCGTGCCGCCACCTCCACCTTTTCCGCCACCCGGTCCCCGACCGACCGACCAACTGACCGAGAGTGTACAGATCGGGCGTAGGCGCCAGCCAGTGGGGCCAGCACGTGCGACCAAATGGCGCTTCTGAAATCCGGGCGGACGTTGACCGCACGTGGCAGCGTAAACTGTTCGGGTGGGGTGGGGGTGGGGTGGGGGTGGTGGGGCGCTGCGGCGCGCGGCGTCAGCGCTGCCGGCGGCCGCGGCGCGCACCCCGCGCCATGCTCGAAATACCGCGCATGTGGCTGACGCAACAGCGAGGTGGCGACCCCGGCCGAGGCGAGATGGGGGGCCAGACGGCTGACGACACCGCCTGCAGCCGGGCTGCCATCGATCGACTGACATCACATGGCCCTGGTGCCGGCGCTGGACCGCCCGAGAGCAGAGGGGCGCGGCTCGGGCGCGGCCGGCGCACCGACGCCCGGCCACCGGGCCCGTCTCGTCGCCACGTGCCACGGCAGCGACTGACACCGATTTCCACCGGCGACGGAGAGGTGCGGCGAAACGACCGGGCGAAGATCGGTAACGAAGCCGCCCCGGCGCGCAGTGGACCGGCGCCAGCGCGTGTCACGTTATTTATTCATCGCGTTATTTAGAACCAGCACCGATTTGTCCCACGAGATACACAGCTGTCTGTTTTTCCTTAAAGGTGCCACGCGAAAGCTCAAACACCGTGCCATGTCTGAAGCACGTCTCCCGGGCTTCCACTACACGTTCTATTGTCATTCATTTACTCCCATCGGAGATCTTTGTGCTACTTATCAAAGAAACTCATTCTTCCGTCCCCGCAAACATCGCGATTCGCCAGCTGCCCAACTGAAATTGACGCGATGTAACACACTTATCACCGGTTCTCTAATGACGACAGGTGGCGTCCCAATGTCATTTCATTTACCACCTCAGCAAAAACACATCACCAGCCCACAGCTTGCCACCCGGCCACTTGACACATATGAGCCGGTCCTGTCGTAGGAGCGGATGACACGTGTTGTCGCTGCTCAGTTTGTCGAGCCGCCACAGCTGGCCGGACATCCGTCAGCCGCCGTCCATCGTCAGCGGCAGCCGGCAGTCATCGGGCCGACACAAGTGCGGGCTGGCACGGACTGAGCGACGCACCTGCCGCCGCCTCGGTCACGGCGCCGACGCCGACGCGCCTCCGGGGTCGGCTCGGGTCGGGCGCCGAGGACCGCAGTGTGACTGTCCGGTGCTCACTGGCTGGACAGAGGCCCAGTCAGACTCTGGACAGACGTCCGGGCGGCCGACTCGACCCCGCTGGTCCGCACACCCCGTTGGACTGGATCCACCGAACAGGGCGGTGTATCACAGGACAGGACAAGGCGTCGCCGGGCGGCTGGCGGATGGCAGTCCGGGGCCGGGAGGGAGCGCGTCGAGACCGCACCGCCGGCCGGGAGAGCGTGACGCGGATCTCCGAGCACGGCCGGGGGGGGGGCCAAAGGGCGGCCGGGGGGACAGGGGGGGGGGGGCGTGGCCGGGGAGAGACGGTCCGCGGCTCGGCACGCCGGCAGGCCGGACTGCTCGCCCGCGACCAAGAGTTCAGACGCTTGATGGCGGTGCATACAGCCGAGGCGGGGGGGGGGGGGGGGGGGGGGGGGGCGCGACCGGGGAGAGACGGCCCGCGGCTCGGCACGCCGGCAGGCCGGGCTGCTCGCTCGCGGCCAAGAGTTCAGACGCTTGATGGGGGTGCATACAGCCGAGGGATGTGTGCTTTGGAGGTGAAACACCAGCAATGTAGACCGAGACAATATTAACGATGACAATGCAAGGTATTACGCAGCTCTCTGGTGAATGATGGCTATCCTGAGAACAAGACTTCACATGTTGAGCCGAACTCGGACCCACGACTTCGCTGCATGCTGAATGACGTGTTGACCAAAACCGAAAGTTATAAACCATTGTTAACTTCGTTTTAAGTATTGAAAGAAAGACACCATCTGAGCAGAACACCCACATGCTTTCATTCTTCCGTGACACGCGCTCGAATGGGGGAGCAATTTGTGCCCCCTGTCGAAGGTTTTGCCAGAATAATTTCAAAATGGCTCGGCGTAGCCCTGCTAAATGTTGCACAGCTTT